CTCCCTCTCTCTCTCTCACTCTCTTTTTTTTGTTGTTGTTGTTTGTTGTTGTTTTGTTGCTTTTTAGTCTGGGCGTTGTTTTTTTTAATTTATAAAAGTAATTGCAACCCCCCTCTCACCCCCTGGACGATCAACGGCGATAGGAGATGAGAAATAAAAAGGAGGTAATAAAAATAATGTATACCCCCCCCCCTCTCCCTGAGTTTTTAATTGCAGGAATTGTAAGCGTCACTGTGAGGGTTGGTAAGTAAACATCTGCCAGTCTTCTATCGCCGAGACGTTTTAAGACCAAGAGGAAAAGTGTTTGAGTGAGTGTGTGTGTGTGTGTGTGTGTGTGTGTGTGTGTGTGTGTGTGTGTGTGTGTGTGTGTGTGTGTGTATGTGTGTGTCGCACGCGCGCGCGCGTCCGTGTGGGTGGGTACGGGGGAGGGAGTATTTTGTGATTACGTTTTATCTTTCACCAAATTTTCTTGTTTTCACTATTTCCTTTCTTTTTCACCCCAAAACACAAAGATACGAACATGCTGATTCATGAAAAACAGCTGATGCACACACCACAAAAACTGCTTCAGACTCGTTGGCACAATTCGCACAAACAAACGACTGTATTTTCATCAATCTTTTATAACGGTGTGAAGTCTCATTTTTTTTCATCTAAAAACAAAATGTAGGAACTTTTTTACACTCGCATTGACACAATTTAGATCATTTAGGGGGCGGGCATATGCTCTGTCGGTGTCGGTGTCGGTCAAGGCCAACCCAAAGGGATACAGAAAGACCGAGATTCACAATGAAAATTCTCCCCACACTGGACTTGAACTCGAGTCTTCTGCCCGCGACAACGAAAGGCCTTACCACTACACCATAGACGCCGGTTCTGTTATTCACACCGCTCTGTTTCTATATTCACATTATACTCTTGTCCGAATCGGTCGTCAAGTGGTTTCGCCAAAGTACAGTTTCTAGATGTCTCGGGAATTTAACTGTAACAATAAGAATAACCCATAAAAACGTGAATGACTCAACAAAATATCGGCAAAATCTAGCCCCAGCTGACCTTCGATCAGAATAAATTAGTTGCGCTTTGTTTTGTGGACCAAAGTTCTGTAAAAATGTGGTCAAAGTTTAGAGCCCTACGTATAAGTGAGGCTGGGAAGAATGTTACAAACTATTTATTGTCACGCTTCTGGCCGGCTACGCTTCGTTCACGAGATTACAGCAGCATAAACCAAATTCACAAGATCACAGCACTGTAACATAAACCAAATTTTCCATAATGGCATCACTAAGTTTGGAGGGCCGTGTTGCTATCATCACAGGTAAGAATATGACGTTCTCTCTCTAACATTGGCAAAGTCAGTTATTGAGTAATGATTGCTATAATTTGTTTATGGTGCAAGAGAAGTTATTATTATTGTTATAGTTGTGTTTTATTACTTTTAGGTCATATAAACATTTGCATATTTTTTCTACTATTGTTCACTTGCCAAATGCCATTCCTGAAATCAGGGACCCCAAATTAGCTAAAACGTATGTGTGTGTATTGCTGTGCTGTTGACTGGTGTTATGTGACCGTACATGTCTTAAATTAAATTGTTCAAATTTGTTTCTTTTCCTAAAACTGGAAAGGTGGCCAGTGACATACATGTAGAGAAATGTGTAATACGAGTCTCTTGTTTGTTTATGAAGATTCGAAATGTGCCGTGGCGTAGCCTTTGGTCTATTCCTTATCGCTCTTATAATTTGTCAAGTCGCTAAACTAGAATCACAACGTTCTATCTGCTCAGTACCTAGTTTTGAGAAATTTGACGTTAACATTTTTGAGTTTCCCAACATGTCAACCTTTTTAGAATGCAACTATGTGACTATCTTGACGGGGATTTCGAATAATCTTACGATTTTGATAAAGGGGATAGAACATAATTTGGTTTTTGAACTCATGGTCTTAGTAACTAAAAGTAAAAGCAACCAAAGATGTCAGGTAGAACTTTGTAATTCTAAGGTGGCTTGGAGTGAAAAAGTGAGTACATGTAGTATGTTCAGCAGGCAAGTTTCGGTGACACGGGGTTTAGATGGGTGGTCACTTGGGTGTGTCCTTGAGCAAGACTCGACAACCTTAGCTAAAAAAAAAGAGGATGGGAGGGGGTTGAATAATAGCGACCAGCTATGACATGGTTGTGAAATTGTTCTGTATTGGTATAATATTGTGTATTTATGTACGTAGATATGCATAGTTTATTTACGTGTGCATTTTTATAATTATGTATTAACGTATGTATGTTTGCAGTTGTTAAGCAAATTTTCCCATGGGGCTAAAAAAAAAGGGAGGGTAATTTTATATATTTTTTAAAAAGTTCACTCTTTAAGGACGTTGAGGCCACATACGTCCTACAGGCAGCATACCAAAAGACAGTGTTGCGGCTCGTTTCGAACAATCGTTCACAAATCAGAAACACGAAATTGCATATTATTCCACAATATACATATTGTTGCCTGCCTTCTTAACTTTGACTTTGTTGAGACAGAGTAAACAGAATCGAAACGTCTGTATGACGAACGAAGTTACGCTCCCTTTTTTTAGTACGCACCCCAAAACAGCACGTCTTCAAGCGAGCAAAACGCGCGTCCTCAATAAGGGACTGTTCACAAATGACATCAGCTCGGGG